TTTTTGATTTTTTTTTCAAAAATTAATCAGTATTGTTTCTTGAATTTTTTTACAAATTAAAAAAAAATCTAAAACATCTTTTTGAATTTTTCTTTCACAAATTAAGCAGTATTGTTTCTTAAATGTTTTTACAAATTTTCACAAAAAAATCAAAAAACAATTATTAGCAAATTAGCAAATAATTAATGGAAACAAAGTCAAAAAGAATGTTTTTTTTCATTTTGATGAAGATTAGGCAACGTTCAGAAACAATATGTGTACTAAAAAAATAATTGTTTGTTCCTTTAATTCTTTTGCAGAACTTTGATCAATCGGTCCGAGAAAACGGTTTGATAGATCGATTTAAAAATTAGCAGGGCTGTGGGGGATACTTTGAGCTGTGAAAACACCTAAAAACATTAGTCTCCCCATCAATATTAGTAAATACGCGGTAGATTTACTAAAACAACGCAAAAACTTATTTTTTTCTCTTTTCCTTAAATCAATGTTAAAGGTGAAAAAAATTTTTTTCCAAAAAATCATAAGAGAATCTTATAAGACATTTATTCCAGTTTTTGACATTCTCATTTTGACAAAAATTTAGAATTTTTTTGCGCTACTACTTAGAATTGCGTGATAACCGTAGCACAAAAAATATTTGCCAAAAGATCTCAAAACTAGAAGCTTAAGGCTTCAAAACGCTTTTTCTTAAATTTTGATACGACCATTTTTCGATGAGTTCAGCCTTTCAAAAAGCAACAAAAAATTTAGGAAAACTTTTTGTTCCTTTAATTTTTTAGAGTTGAGTATGACATTACGTTGTACTACTTACTCAAATTAATATTTAATTTGCAATCATTAATTTAATTTAATACAAAAATTGTTTTTATTTGTAATTATATGAGATAAATAAAAATATAATACAATAATATTCATAAAAATCAAAAAATTGGATCTTAAATAAAACACAGTAGAATTTTTTTTATAAAAACATTAATAGTGCACTTCAGTCTTTAATAATTCAGATATTAGTCATTTCATGTTAATCGAAGTTTAAAAATTTTTCAAGAAAAACAATCAAAAAAATTAAATAATGTAAAAATAAATTTATTGGATGTAGAAGAAGCAACAACTGCCAATTTCAGCAAAGTTAACAAATTCTAAATTCTGAAATATAAGCTTTGTTGTATTTTTAATAATAATAATTTGTCGATTACGTACAGTGAGCAAAAAATAAAGATACAGGGTATCTCAGCGAGTTGAAAAAGTCCATTAGTGACCTTTTAATCGTGAAATTAAAAAAAATTGTATAGGACATTGATAAATACTAATCTAGTGCATCACCTAAAATTATTTTCAACCATACAGCATGTCGCAAAAATAAGTTACGATACAAACTTGTGTTTTTTTAAATGAAACACGAATGTTTTTTGGCATTTTTGGTACCCTTCTAAAACAATGTTTTTATGCTAAACTTTTATTTGTCGATTTCGCTTAGTTTTTTTTTGACAAAAACATGCACTTTTTAAAAATTTATTACACAAAAACTAAGACAGCTAGAACAAATTTTTTCTTACTTCTGCAAAAAAGAAAGTACAGAATGTAAAGCTGCAGCAATTTTTGGGTGTTTTACATTTGTAAAGATTAATAAATTAAGAACTGTCTTAAAAGCTAAACAACTTAAAAAAATTTAATGGAACACCTATTTTTAATTTTTGCATCTATCTAATAAATTGATAAATTGTCTATCTAATAAAACAATAATCTTTTAATGTCTAGAATTGATAAATAAAAAGATATTTAACATTCAATATTAATTGTAGCAACAATGACTATCAATATCTGAGCATTGTTGATACTATAGCAACCAGAGTAATTCCACCAAGGATCACTTATCCAATGATTTATCCAGATATTGTAAAAGATGTTATAAATACTGAAATTCGAATTACTTTATTGTAAAAATAAAGAATAATGGATTCAGTTTAACACAAATGTGATTAGTAAATGATATTTCTTCTATCTTTTGTGCAACTGTGCACTTTTTGGCTACTGAAACAATAGTATTTTTTTTAATGTTTAAGGTTAAAAATTTTTTTAGTTATTGATTATAAACACCTAAAAGTAAATAATTTTAGAAAGACAATTTAATAATCTTTTAAATGCAAAAACAATAAATAGGGTGTTCCATTTAATTTTTTTAAGTTATTGAACTTTGAACATCTTTGCAAATGCAACACACTAAAAAAATGTTACAACCTTATAGCTTCTACCTTCTTCAATGCGGTAGTAAAAAAAATATTGCTAGATGTCTTAGTTTTTGTGTAATGAATTTTTAAAAAGTGCATGTTTTCGTCAAAAAACCGTCTTATTTTTAAAACTAAGCAAAATCGACCAATAAAAGTTTAGTTTAAAAACATTGTCACAAAAATCTACATCCAAAAACGCTAAGACATATTGTTTTTTACATTTAAAAAACACAAGTTTGTACTGTAACTTCTTTTCGACACACGCTGTATAGTTAAAAATAATTTTGGGCGATGGATTAGATTAGTATCTATCAATCTCCTATATATATTTTTTACCATTTAAAGTAAAATAAAAAAGTGTTATTAGAAACAAAATGAATAACTATTGTTAATTTTTTAATTTGGGCTGAGATTTACCCGTTACTAGGGTAATTATTTGTGTACGAGAAGCACTCTGTAAATAAACAAAAGCAGAAGAAGGTAAGAAGCCAGAACAATGAAATTTCGCATCCATTTGCATAAATTGGGAGGCATTTTTGATTTAATTTAACTTTGCACAAGGATCAATAAAAATAATTTTGTAAGTCGGAGAACATGCAATGAAAATTACATCTTTATCAGATAAAGTTTTTAATAAAGCAAATTTTTGTTTAGGCCGGTGGAATTTCGGGGACGGCATATATCGATTTGACCTCTTGGAGGGTCAAAACTGTCCGTTTTATTTGATTATCATAAATTTTGATCGTGGCGGCGCGTCATCGGGGGCCCTGTGCTCTTGTCCCCGTGACCATTGCCAAAATTTCTCCTAATGATCCCATCATTAAATATTTGCGCGTTGTGCGAGGTTAGAGTCAACTCCGTAAGGAAGTATGATTCATGTTGTTTCCCTCATTTTGGATTCTCCCCTAGGTTTTGCCAGTTTCTGGGAGAAAATAGCAAAGTCGGGGGTGACAAGGCCCGAATAGTTTTATTAACACCCGCATATTTTATTACATTTATTTCCATTCGAATTAAATTCGACGAGGAGGAAATATGCAAATTCGATCAATTTGGGGCTACACGACTCAAATTGTTATTTTTGGACCTGATATTTTATGCATTTTTACTTACTTCCAAATTAAAATATTTTAAGGTAAAATTACACAATTTTAGATTAGAAAATGTGTTGTAGGGTACTTAAATTTGAATACAAAGATTACAAATCTAAATCAGCAATTAATTTTTTCTCAAAATTAGAAATACAAGATAAAAAAAATAATGTTTTGTGTGACATGCAATCGCTGTTGATTTTAAATTATAATTTAATACAATATTTCACTGGAAACACTTAGGTAAAATTACAAAGAAGTCGAAACATAAATTTTTAAAGTAGTGAAATAAATCATCAGACGTAAATAAATAAAAATGCATTTGGATTATTGACATACAATTTATTGTTGTCTGTAATTTCATCTTTAGTTTTATTCCAGATCAATTGGGTAGATTTACAAAATGAAAAATATTGACCTGGTTTTCCACCAAATTCACATTTTTGTTTACAGAACTTAGTAACATTTATCGATTGAATTTATAATATCATTATCCTGCACCAACCAGATTGTAATTTTTATGTTTAAAAAAGATAAAATCGTGTATGACGATAAATAAATATGTACGAGATCGATATTTGCAAAATTTGCGCTAAAAACCCAATGACAGCTACTTTGCGAGCGAAAAAGCGTATCAATTGTCTGAAAGCATGCAATACCAACCCTGTAATGAGGAAAATTCAGTGAAAACAGAAGAAACACACCAAAAAACACCACATAACTGTCAATTAACGAGCACGTGAACCCTCTGGAGTAGAGTACAAACAGAATATAGTATCAATAAGGGAAGTACACAGATAGAAATCCCCACCCTTCACAAATGCACCCCCTCTACCACCACCACTCATATTTAAAATAATTCATAGAAAAAGCTCGCATGGAAAACGAACTCGTATTATTAAAGACAATTATTTTAATCTTCCCCGATTTGGGCCGAATTTCTCAAATTATACGAATAGTTTATTATTATTGAGTTGTAAAGTTGACATCATTTTTGAAAATTTAATGTTAATAGCTTTTTTTTCGAAGTTTTATAAAGTTTTTACATATTGATGAGAAAAAATGTCCCGTCTTATTATTCATTGATCGCTGGTCGAAATAAAGATTTGTTTTTCGAGCTTTGAAAAATTTAATAATGTGTGTTTTTGAAACAAAACCTAATCAAATAAAAGAAGGGAAGATAAGTATGACGAGACTTATTTCGATATGTCCCTAAAAAGAGATTTCAATCAAATAAAAGAATGACATTGAGATACGGGATGTGGATAAGTGTAACATAAATCAATAAGACCGAATTTCTTCTTTCTAAAGTTTAATTAAATCGGGTAATTTTTTGTGTTAATAAGCGTAGTGTGGGCTTTTAAAATGACAAAAATAATGCTTTTATCTTTTATCTGTTGGGATTTTATTGATTTATTATTAATTTTATCTCTAATCAGTCATGAATAATTTAATATTTAAATAAAATTGAAGAGAAACTGGTAAATAAGATAATAATAATCGAAATTAAAAGCAAGCTACGTTGGTTTTATTGATTTTTATTTGAAGTGATATTTAATAAAATAGATAAAAAAGAACTATTGTGGGTCGAAACCACCTGTATTTGCTATTAGGAACGAAAGGGAAAACTGAAACACGCACAGAAATGTTCGAAATTTTAAATAAAAACGCAACATATATATACACAAATTGTAGATTCCAAGAACTGGGGGAATTATTGATCATCAGATAAAGGCAACACAGCTATCAGAAAACATAATGACGAATGGAAACATAACGGACAGCGCAAATGAGACTGTAGGGTGAGTATATGTGTGCGTTAGATGCGTGTGTATAGTGGATCAATAGTCCTCCCACGCCGAAGACCACTGGTCAGAAAACGGCCAGTCGCGCAACTTTCATTTTAAGACATAAGGTGACACGCCTATACCTTAAAATTACAAAATTTTTCACAAAATATGCACCAACCAATCACCGCAATGCACAAACCTGTTTGCGCAAAAACCGGTTTTCGGACATCTTATGTATGCACTGTCCTAATTGTCATAAATTAATTTACGAAAACCAGTTTTTTGACAAAAAGCCGAACCGCAGTAACGAATTTCGCCAGAATTTTGCAAAATAACATCGGAAAAAGAGATACCAAACAGGAGATAGAAGGGTATAGGTAGCACGTGCATCAATTCATGCATAAATAATTATTACGTGAAACTTTCGATTTCGACATGCAAAAACAATCCAAATTGATCGAATTTTGTGTTTTAACTAAAACGAGTCATTTTTTACAAGCAAATAACTAATAAAGCCATCACTTATTGATTATTAACCCAATTATTACACTTTCAATGAATTGTGAATTGATACAACCAATTACACTCTATTTAATAACACTCTAGTAATAAAAATAACTTCTAACAACTTTATTTAATCAAACAATTTTGACTTTGTCGCTAATTAAGTAAAAACAAGTTGACAAGCTGGAACAAGCCGGCTCGTGGCAACTCCGGCTTTGAGCCTCCATAAATTGTTCAAAGTGCAAAAAATGTTGGTAAACAAATGGGGTTAAGTCGGCGAATTTGACACTTCTTGTGATAACATTCCAAAAAAAAATTGCACCCATTGATTGAGTTGATGATTTTTTGGAATGTTGGTGTTGTGATTTTGGGAATTGTTGAAATTACTTACAAAGACCACAGCCGAATTTTAGAAAATAGTCATTGCGAGCACCTAAACGACACTAGCGCGGTCTACCTACTGATAATTTAAGGGAGAGCGTCGAATTTCGACGCCGGTGCGCAACTCCATCAAATTTAGATGACAAAAGCCGCCATTTGTTAAAGAAATGCGTCGATTTTATGATTCGCGTTTATTGCGAGTTTTATTTATTTTTTATACTGCCGCATTTTTATTTTTACTTCTAAACAATAAAACGCAAGACGGTCTTTGATAACTGTACTCGTGGAAATGGTCGCATCACATTCACAAGACGATTTTTGACATGTGACCAATCACAGATTCGAAATATGCTAATTCCGGTCCAGGGTGGAAAAAGACATTTTTCCAACACAACACGCTGACATTATAACAAAGAAAAAGGGATTGCAATAAAGAATAAGCGATAGAATTGCCTCTCAAGAGAGGGAGGCCATACCAATTTTTTACTTTACTATTACTGATGTTGACAGTTTGTTTGGTTTCATGAATTGTCGCATTCTTACTCGATTCGCTTTTTTAAAACTTCTGATCTTATCACAAATAAAACACTTCATCACAAACCAATTTCGAGCATAAAACATTCTAATTCTAAAATACTACATTAGAAACAATTCTTCATAAACATCTTACTTCCAATTCAATTGAATTAGAAACACATTAAAAAATTTTAAATTAATTTCAAACTAAAAGAAGCATCGCAAACGTAAATCTGACTTAAAAAAATCAAAAAAATGTGTGAAGTTACACTTCGGTGATGTGAAATAATCAAACATTGGTTTGTGGTTGATAATAGAGAAACCAAAAATGTATTTTTTTTATTTTTAATGGTTTGAATGTAAGTTAATTATTGATTTTTAATTAGTTGTTGTAAAAATATTGACATTTCCATTTAGAATTCACTGAAAGCAGTAATACACATACTTTAGAATATTTTGTAATGTTGTGCGATGACAATAACAAACAGCAATCAAATATTAATTGCAAAAGCAAAAGGTCATATAGAGCTATTACTGAAGAGAACTTAATTTAGGTCAATTAGAAGATTTTGTTTCTATTATAAGTAATCAGAAGATTGTGCTAGAAAAATCGCAACGATTAATAGAACGGATTATTAAGCACGTTTTGATAATCATTTTAGAATAACGGATTAAAGGTCAAGTGTCTATTTTTCTTTAATTTGATTTCAAAAATACAGTTTCCGGATTTATTTATTTTATATTTAATAATCCTGTAAATTCACCGGAACTGTGAACAATTTTAATTAAGTGTAGGTAATTCCGAATAAAAAGTACAATTGAATAATTAATTAAAAAACTGGAAGTGGATTATTATTTTATTTGTCCATAATTTTAAAGCACGTCAAGGAGATCCGCCAAAATTTTGTCTAAAGTAAACACAATTACTGAAACAGTCAACAACATACATCATTCCGTAAACCCAAAACAATCAAATACATTCAACTAACAAAGTTTACACTTTGCCCCAACAGAAATTACCTTCTGACCACAAACTAAAGAATTATTGTCAAAATTACAAAATAGTGAAGAATCGTTGATTAAAATAGTCGTGACGTAAACAAAGGAACAAGCAGAAATCGTCACAAACATTAATATTAATGAAATCTCCACATCGGCAATTTTTTGTCCGGTTTTATTTCCACTGTTCCAATTAAATTTGATTTAAGCCAATATTATTCTCAATATTAAATTTCTAACGGTAATTATAACTCGAGAAATATTTTTCACAAGTTTAATAAGCCGAGAGTCATCATCATATTTGTCTTTTACGACACGTCGACGACTTAACTAATCAATAAGCCGCCAAATTCAGTCTGCTTTATTTCTTATGAAAATTGGTTTTCACCGAAGAAACAATATTTCAATTTTTAATTATTTTTTTAGCGGACATTTCAAAATTTATTTCAGGATTATCGCCAAATTTGTGGTTTAATTCGAATAAAACCGATTAAAGTGCCCTCTAATGTTTTTATTAAAAATTGTAGCTTTCAGAGCCATCTCTTCTCGGAAAGAGTTAAACTGGTAAGGATTCAGTGTTATGTCAGTAGAGGGAACCTTGATTCATTTTCGTTTTTAGATTAAAAAAACACAGATTTGAGCAAATCATTAAAATTTATTTTGCATTTGTATATTATATACACTTTGTAATAAAAATGAGAATGTTAAAATACATAGGTACATGGATTAATTGACTGTAAAATAAAACATTAAAACCTGTAACGGAATAAAATCAATAAAGTCAATTTGAACAAACCGAAACAAACCTTGTCATTGGAGCATATTTGTTATGATACATCCTCGGCGAATTGTTCCTCGACTGTGAATCCTCCGAATAACTACTTCCTGCCGACCTTGTACTTTTCACCCCATGTGCAAAATCTTTCCTATAATTCGTCCCACTAGTTTTATTCGAACCTGGATGAGAAAAAAATAGCCAAAAAAATTTTTGGGGACGAGTCACAAACCTTGCTTTGCTTTTGGCATATTACACGTAACTTGTGGATGAATCGTCGTTTTGGCATGATTTACTTCATTCAGGTCACTTAAGTAACGAGTACTCCCGGTATACTCCTTATACTCCCGTTGGGGGTGTCTATACTCGGACAAAACTTGCGTCACTTGAGCTTTAATCCGCGTTTCTTCACTACTTTCCGAGCTTGGTCTGTGTTTCCCGCTCGTGGTTTTCTTATTTTTTTGGTAAACTTTCTTGTTTTGGACTGGGAGTGACGGGGAGGAAGTCGCGGAGGAGGACACAGCGCCGTCCGGTTCCTGGCGCACCTCATCCTTCACCTCCAAGTTGGGAGGAAGACTAGTCCAAGCGACATCGTCCATGGAGAAAAGGCGCAACTGTTGGCGAATACTCGCCTTTTCCCTTGCCCTTTTCTTCTGGAACTCCTCCTCGACCTTTTGCATGGCTTCCAACTCGCGTAGTCTTTGCTTCTCCTTCTTCTCAGCCTCCCGTGATAGTTTCTCCGCAAGTCTTCGGCGTTCTATCTGACGAACTGTACTCTGGAAAGTGAATCTCCGCGGTTTGCGGTTCCAATTCCTCGCGTCTTCAAACACTTTCGGAGGGTCTTGCAAGTCCTCAGGTTCCGCGTCGGAGGATGATTTGACTTCACCATTGATATTTTCGCACGATTTTGACAGTAGAGATAGTTTGTGATTGGTTCTAGACCTATCGGCACTTTTGGAGCGTTCACGAAGATCGTCTTTTGTCTTGGTTCGCGCATGGCGATGGTCTTGGTTATTGTCAAACTCTGGGAGATACATTAACCGACCGGAACTTTTCGAATTTGGCACTAATAACGGTTCTTTTTCCTCCGATTTGTTCGAATTTTTCATTTCGAGCGAGTTGAAACCATTGTTGAGGGAGTTTGGGGCTGATTTGCTCAAAAACCAATTGTCGCTTTGGTCTTGACTCAAATTTGTGGCCTGCATCATGTCTTTTTTATTACCAAGAGTGCCCAAAACGCCAGAAACTGATCTTTTTATTTTTTGCAAACCGGTGTAGGTCTTGTCTGACATATAAGCCGACAAGTGATTGTCACGTGGTAACGATAAACTAAAAACATGAGGTTTGTTCGAGTATTTTGTCCTCGATTTGTAGGAATTTTCATTGTTTAGACCCTCCTCCATACTCGAATCGTCCCCGAGGTCTTGTTGAGGAGTCCATGAAATCCCTTTTGGTATCTGAAAAAAAAGGGTAATTTTTTACTAGTTTCATTTACGAGTTTACCAAAAGACTGTTTCTGGAGTTCATGATGGCATCGGGACTATCGTCGTATCCGGTAGGACCCGCGTCGCCGGAAATACCGGAATCCCCGGATTTGTCATTGTTTGACCTTTGCCCGATCTGCATGGTCGGTGGTGGTGGTCGTGAATATTTCTCAATCCTGTCTTCAATAAAAACCGGGACTTCGTCACTTGCTATAGTACTAGCAGTCGGGTTAGTGTCAACAGAGAGGAGTCTCCACGCAGCAGCGGGTGAAAACCTCGGGATTTCTAACTGTTTCTTCGGCAAAATCGGTCTCAATTGCAAATCAATGCCGTTTCTAACACCTGTGTTTTCATCAACTTCGATTTCACTCGAAATATCCGATTCGGATGAGTTTGCAATTTTCGGGATGTGTGTCATGGAATGGAGATTTGATGCAAAATGGTCGACGATTTCGTTTTGCATTGTCTCATCCATTCCGAAGTAGAAAGTTTTGGGTTGTTCTTTTTTCCGGATGATTGGGGATGACTGGTCAGGGGAGGAAGACTCTTTCCCCGAACCGTCCCCTCGTTTCTCCTCCACAGTCTCCATCTGCTTCAGTCTTTGCCTAATGTTGTCTTTCTTATGTATATTGTGATCGAGTGTTTTCAATTTTTCTTTATTCCGGTTATTGATTTCTGCGATCGTGTTGTCTGTTGAGGCGCGGGTGTGTCTTAAACGTTTAGTCACCTCTTTCAGTTCCTGATGGAAGTTTGGAGTAATCATTTCAGGAAGCGACAATCGATTTGTACGTAAACCCGCACTTCGGTCGCGGTCTCTAATTTCAACTAATTCCTCGTGTTTTTCTAACGATTTATGATTATGTACAGGACTAGAGTAATTTTTTCGCGTTTCGGCCCGGGTTTTGAAAAGACGAGCACGACGAATGGGGCCATTGTCGCCACTAGAATCATCCCAATCCAGCGACTTGTTCATCTGAAACACCCAATCAAAACCAACACAAACACTACTAAAATACCACCTCCACGGGAGGGGGAGGCGCCTTATACTTCTTCTTCCCGCGCCTATCTTGAGTCTCCATCCCTTTCGAGTGCCTTAAATCGGGCTCAGACCCAAACTTTTTCATCTACAAGTCACTTTGTTTCAAAATAAACATAAACACAACTAAAAAACATACATTTTCCCTATAGGCATTATGACTGAAGTGTTTATACTCCACAGCATGGGTATACCTAGCCCCTGATTTGTGTAAAGGGTCCCGTTGGTTTGAGAGATACGTCCTAGGTTTGTCCAAGGTTGAAACTTCGTTCGAATGCTTGTCACTCTATAAAATTGTTCAAAACAAGGCTTTTGTGGTTCATTTGAATTACCTCTCGCAAGGATAAGCGGTTTTGGTGGTGTCTCCCACTGAGCGTCCCTCCCGATTGGAGGATTTCCCCATTGTTGGTATGGCGTAATTTTTGGCGGGCGTCTCGCTCCGGTAGGACTTTATGTTGGTGGAGGCGAGGTTGTGACCTTGGGAATGAATGTGCCCATTGTTGTTCTTCAGGTAGTGGCCTTTGGGTGATTTGGCCAGTTTGGCTACCGATATTTCCCATAATTCCACAATAATGCCGACATATTCTACAAAAATGGAAACGATAAGCTTACATAACTGTATAAAAAGCTTATGTAAGGAATTCATCAATGGACAGCTTCCTAATAAGCAGATTTTTGACTTTTTTACCAAAGTCAGTTTTTAATTAGTATAATTTGTACTTTCTATCCTGTTTATTTATTCTTTAATCGTTTCATAAGCATTTACGCTTTTACAAGTTTACTTATAATTTCTCTGCTCGAGGCATGCCTTCTTCAGTATGTGAAATTCTGAATCAAAATTCATATAAACAACATTTATTAGCTTTAATTGTTACATATCCCGGTTAGCCATGCAAAATAGATAAGTGTGAATGCAAATATTTTTTCCCCACCGAAACCGAATTTTTGACTAAATATTTATGAAGTTGTTTTCAGTGACCTTGTTATTTAAATTTTGTTTATAACACATAAGCTATTGTCGTGCTAGAAGAATAAGAAAAAACTTATCTGAAATCTCATATGAAACTACGGAAATATTTTTCATGTAACATATTTTATCGGTTTCTATACAATATAGTGGTAATAGTACGAATTCTCAAGCGGAACGTTTCAATAATGCAAATTCAAGCAATATCTTAAATTATGCAGTTTAAAGTGTGTGCTTTAGCTTATTTTTGTAAATTAATTACTTCAGTGAGGAAGAATACTATCACCCAGTGTGTAATTTCTTCAAATTATTACTTTCGAGTTATGTAAGCGAGGTATTGACATTTCGTGTCATACCGGAAATTCCATAATTACAGTATTTAATTTTTGTAAAAGTTTAGCGATCTTTCAAAAATTTTGCTGACCCAAATTGGGCAACAACTAACAATACGCCTTTGTAATGATGATCTCTTCACTTTGTTAGTTGGCTGCATTGTAGTGTGACGAATATGAAGTTGGATTTCTCCTAAATGTAGCGAGAGGAGCAAAAAACGCAAAAATCGATCGTGACAATTTATTTATTGTTGTAACCTTAGAATTTTTTTGGATCAATGTCATAGACAGCAAGGTTACAATTAGAATTCGCAAAAAATCTAACACTCAGGGCTGACCCTTAGACATATGTTCCAAAGGAGAAAGCAAACAAAAATCAATCGGGGCCCTTGATAGTAATAAAACGGTGTTTTTGAACGAATCATTGTAATGTTAAGTAAATAAATCAACTTTCACTGGTTGTATGGAACAATTGTTCGTCAAAACTTGATGTTAAACTAGAAATTTTACTTTTATTTTTGTTCTATTGTTCCCTGTGTGAATTTTCCGAATGATGGGAAAAATCGAGTCACTTGTTTTCTCAAACGTTTCGTGTTATGCACTTTTTTAAATTCGAATTAATTGCTATGTGAATTCTAATTACCGGAGATGTGCAGAAAATGTTATCTTTGACATTTCGGAGTATTTCTATTACTATTATTATATTGTAGCAGTCACTAATTACCATAATCCTACTTAAACTTAAAGAGCAAAGTTAAATATTCTCAACACCTCAATTAGTGGCATAATTAATTTCATTGTCAACATAGCATAACGAATCTGGGTTGAAAAATTCGCGAATTTACCGAATAAAAGCAGGGATTACTAATTAGAAATTCTTTGAATTTGTGTCCGATGAAATGTAAAATTCTGGATTAAACCTGTGGGCATGGTTTCAATTAGCAAAGTATGTTAAGTTTTAATACACATGTCATGCAATCAGTGATGCAAGAAATTATTTATGAATTTCCTTTAATCTATGTTTTGTTGGTCGGTTTATAATTCTGCTAAATAGAGCAACGTTATTGTGCATTTTCCATCAGCAATTTCTACAATTATCCTTGTTTCGTAACAATTAACCGAAAGAGAGGTGCAAGTAAGTAATTGCAGTTTCATTATTTGAAAATTCTCAGAAAGTGAGGCAACCGTGTGAAAGAATTAGCGTTTTAGTTACATCAGAGAAATAGTAAATTTATGACAAAAATTTCTACCCAGCTGATGGCATTCTGATCTGAAACAGGTCCCTGTATAGCCTTCGAGTAGAAAGTGATGTGTATAACACACCGTATAAAGAAGTCGAAGGCAATGTATAACTAGCCTCGTTTACCAATTGCAGACGTTAACAACTATTTAACGGGAAAATATGCGGTCATTCTCGTTGAATTGTCTCCCAGCTTAACTGAAATTTTCAAAAAACCGCCGCATTTGTCAAAATTTTCCGAAACTTTCGAACTAATTAACGGCGAGACAAGTCGCCGGAACGGAAAACACAAGAGAAAGGCCCTTCATCGATGCAATCTGAACCTCCATTGATCCAAAATCGAGGTCAATAATGGGAAGAGAAATTATCTCCGACAAATTAATGGCCACCACTGGCGGCAAGACTAAACAAAATTCTTATCAAATCTACAGAGAAAGAATGCGATAATTGCGATAATTACAATAACACACGTGTTTACCAATTCATATGTAGACTAATTCACGAATTTGATTTCTCGTTCGAGAACGACACGGGTTTCAGTGTTATTGGATTGGTGTAACATAGTTTAAAACTAATTTTCATCTAGCCACTGAAAGTATTACGTCCAAGTTTGTTTTTTCCCAAAAGTGAAATTGATATTTATGTTGGCGATAAAAAATTATTAGATTGATTAATGTGGGTCACATGTTCTTATGTATTTTGGGAACTTTCATTTGTTACCTTAGGCAAACACACCTTTAGTGAGAGTATTTGGAAGCATCTTATGGCCCAAATTAAAGCATCTTTCTTATCGACTTCACTCATGTTCCAGTTTGCTTTTTATTAAAACGGCTGAGAAATTACAAGCGACACGCCCTTTATATTCAACTTAATTGTCTCGAAAGTTGAGAAATTCGATTTATTTCTTTTGCAAGGCCTATTTTACCTCACAAAAATTTCGAAAGTTTAAACAAAAAGCAAACTCGGATTTGCTAAACGCCAAAAGTGGTTAAATGAGTTTAACACTACATACTTTCACAAGTTCAAGGTTTTTTAATTGTGCAAAAAAATTTAAATAAATAAACGTCCACTGATTAGTATTGTTTCGTTAATGTTGGAAATAAATAAGTTTTTCCACCATTGGCGTTTATTAATTTGTCGCAACATTGATTTTAACGGTTCTAATGTTTCCGAGGTTGTTGACGTAAAGACAAACAGATGGTTCTCCTTTTGTTTGTCAAATTACATTAAACAGTGGGTTTTTTCAAAAATTAGCACTTGATTAACAGGAGTAGTTTTTGACGAAAGTGAAACTTTCAATCCACCTGTATGTATAATAAACCCATTCAATATCATCGATAAGATTGAATCCGGTGCCCATAAAATTTCTACCAGATCCAGGTCAGTTTTGTCGTGTGTACTTTCATGCAAATTCCGAATTTTAGATGACAAATTAGGAGCATATTTTATTTAGTAAACGAGTTGGAGGAAATGATAAGGTGCAAATTAAAATTAAAGGCCTCACGCACGATCAAAACCAGAATAATTATTATTACGAAAGTCGTCATTGTTCTATAATTACAAGACAATACTTTCCATTTTGCATATCGGAGTTATCTTCGTTTTGCAAGGCGGGCATCAATTTTTTTCAGATTTGACACAATTCTGGGCCGGAAAAACGTTTTGTTCTAAATATTATGCAGCGTAAATGTGATTCAATTATGAATGTATTTTAATTAACATTAACTGTACTGCACGCAGCCATTGAAAAATCCATACATTCTGTTCCCAAATAGAGGTCAAAGTTTTTTCGAAAGTAATTCTCATGGAATCTTCACCCAAGTTTGAAAGTGAATGACACTTCACCAAAACCATCACTGGATGTTATTTTACATAAATTTGTTTCGAGTTACGGTTAGATTTAAAGGTCAAGATCACGGTAAAGGAAGTATTCTTGCTATAATAATTTTGTAATAGCTTCTCTTCTTTAAAATGCTGCAAGCATGGCACAAAGGAAGATACACGAATGCTTTGCATACTATTCCATGTTTTATTTTTAATGACCCCTGTTTAACATGGATAACTCATATTCCATATTATCATAGCTAATGTACAAGTAGCCACAATCAAATGTAAATGAGCCGAATTCGGACGCATCATGAATGAATGAAAACATTGAAACAAACAACTATTCCCCGAACTGCGTAGTGTTAAATATGGTGCCATTAAGTGTTTTAATTGTTATCGCCGGCTTGGGTACCAAAATTTTAGAATTTTGGTTTGTGGGTAAATTACCGTTCGCCGTTAGCCGGCTATAAAATTTTTGATAAAATTAATTGCGCTAATTTGTGATCAAAACTGTAAAGTATATGTGGTAATTGGCCGGAATGCTCGTATTTGGTTCTTACATGTAGCAAGTGCCATCAAAAGTGTCTTCCACAGTACAAAGCGCAGTTCTTCCGCTTTGGTTCCTCAAGTCGCAGCAACCAAGCGTAACTCCCAGTTGCACCGCGGGTAAAACTCCCAAATTGGGTTTTTGGTCACCACACACAAGCCACTCACGAGTCCAAATCGTCTACAAATCAAACATTTTGTTTGACGCGCCGCTTTCGCTCACTGCCTTTACTGAGTGGGTACTGACAGGTAAAAAGTGCGGAATAGCATAGCGGTATTCAGCCTCTACTCTCTTAGATAGAGGGGATTGGATTAAGGTAGTACCATACCTACGTGGAATGCGGATTGGATTTAAGTACCTGTTTCGTGTGCAGAGGTGTTAGCCGATGCGGCGCCACTGCCCTAAACTCAACCACCTGCAACGGATCTTCGGTTTGACCACGCGTTCAAACCATTTCCGCATTCGAAACCGCGACTGTCAACTCCAACGAAAAACCTCGCAAAAAAAGAGAACAATACGGCAAATGACAGATTTATATTTCGGAAGCAATTTTCTCGTCTACTGTTTTGAATAAAGAGAAGCTACTTTCACACCTAAATTCCTGCGACGTACGAATTTTTACTTCCGATCCCCAAATTCCTCCATGTGCCATTAAAAGTAATACAGCAAAATTTCTTTTTCGCTAAATGTTGGTGTATCCTAAGACCTTTGTAAAAATTTTAAATTGCCGCCCCTAAACTGAAACAAGTTTTTTTAATACAGTAGAACCCCTCTATAACGACAACTCAAGGGGTTATAACCGATTTTCGCTATAAACAGTCATGGATAATAAAAGTTTTTACACATGTACTAATTTAAATACGAATAATAAAGAAAAACAATTTTTAAGCAAAAAAATCTGTAATTTTTATTTGTTGAATGAAGCATTTTTATCTATCTATATTGTACTATTTGTCCTTGTTCTTTAAAATTATTACCAATGTAGAACTGTGTAAATTTTTCTCTTTGCAGATTACAGCTTGCTTTTTACCACTCTGTGTTCTCCATGCGATAATCGGATGGACAAATGTGATTTCCACACTGATGAGATTTGCTGAAAAATCTGGAAAATATTTCAGCTAGTGTCGCATTATGTTTCAGTGGCGCAATGAATTAAAACTTGCATTTATTAATAAGAGAGAGATAATCGTTTGCGTCGACACCCCTAGCAAATTTTCTTTGCTGTTGTCACTTATCACATTCATTCATTCTAAAATCTGTAATTTTTGTTTGTTGAATGAAGCATTTTTAGATAAAAATCTATATTGCACTATTTGTCCTTGTTCTTTAAAATTGTTGCCAATGTAGAACTGTGTAAATTTTTCTCTTTGCAGATTACAGCTTGCTTTTTACCACTTTCGAACTCTTTTATTATTGATATTTTTTCTTTGATAGAAAATGATTTTCTTTTCGAGGACGACACATTGATACAGAAAGACTGAGAAAGTGAGAAAAATAAGACCATTAACACGCAAAAACAACATTTCCAAAGAAATTCTAGTACACAATTCGTAATAGAGACTGGCAGGATTTTTATTTCTTCTAGGAACTCTCGTTATAACCGATCTGTTTTCGGAAATTTCTCAAAATTTCTCGGTTTTACCGATCCAAGACAAAATAAAAGTTTTGCTATATCCACCTCGATTCCAGAAAAATACTCGCTATAGAGGGAAAATTTTACATAGAGTAGTATACAAAACGGCAAGGAACCCGACAATTTACTCGTTATAACCGGGACTCGTTATAGAGGAGTTCCACTGTATGTATTTACGTACCTAATTTCTATTTATACCTAAATCTATATACACGGTATGGTACTAAGCGGTTTTTTTCGCAAACTAACCACTTTACGAAAAAAATAATTAGTGTAGCGTAAAGTACAATTAAAATGGACCGTTTATAAAAAATAAAATTTTTCAAAAATCCTTTTAGTTTTCGAGTTTTGCAAAAAAAATTGTAATGGCAACCTACTGTGACACATATTTTTTTAATAAAAGACTATGATCTAAAAATAAGTTCTAATTAAATAAAAAAAAAATTACCAGTAGGTTTTTTTAATAAATTTTTAAAATTGCGTTCCGAGCTCATCACAAAGATTTTCCGAACGAAAAAACCGCTTGGTTCCGTACTTGCTATTCACCTTTCTGACCCCTAGCAAAAAATAATGTAAAATGTTTAATACGTAACTAAAAAACATTATACAGAATGTCCCGACTAAGTTTACAAGAAGAAAAAAAAATTGGTTTTGGTTTATGTCAAAACTGCTAATGAAAAACATTTTTTGCGTTATTTGAAACGAGCAAATCTGTAATTAAAACTTTATTATTTTAATTAAGTAGGAAGAAAAGTTAATTTTCCTCTTAATTTTGGACTTATAATTTTTCTCTGATTGGCGGTTTTATTTTTTTTTTCACTTTGACAGTTAATTAACTGAATAATGATGGTTGCTATTAAACTTTGTGTTTTTTGAGTTGCCGTTTATTAAAATTATGTTTTTCACAAACATTTTTGTTATTTAATGAAATCGTTGCCAAAAAAGTAAAACCGCCAATGTGATGGGATTTGTTCTTTCTACTGAGCCAGAATAATAAAGTTTTAATTACAGATTTGCTAGTTTTAAGTAAAAAATGTTTTCCTTTGCAGTTTTGGCGTAAAATCAAAGATACATTTTTTTTCCTCTTGTAAATTCATTCCGGGGACATAATGTATATTTTTTTTTGAAAACGGCTTAAAAATGCCCCCCTTCGGGAAAGCCGCCTTTGTGAATCCCACAAACACGGGCCTGATAATAAAAGTAAACAAGTTGCGCTTCTGATTGTAGCCGTTATAAAGGTTAAAGAAACAATGCTATAAAACACGCAATAAAACTAAAGCACATTCTAATTAAGTGATCACGTGATGTTATTTTTCATATCTGAAATCTTGGAAACTAAGTTTGCGATTTTAAAATCAGGTGTTGGATTCGGTGTAACAAATCGCAATTAAAGAGGAGGTAAGCGCAACTTTATGTTTTATGACAATAGTCGAGCCATTATTCATCCCTTAGCCCCACAGGAGTCGGAAGTTACGTCAGCCAATTATTACCTGACAAAACCATAAAGCTAAAAACTAGAATTATCACCCACTAGAGATGGCGCCAAAATTCGAAATAAACTTACTCAAATGATGATTGCCTTTTTACTTTCTAATGATCGGTGATTTCGGTTAAAACTTTTATTAAAATCACAAGCCATTTCCACTTAAACGATTCTTTGATATATGTTACAATATCAGATTTGGCACACGTTGTCTCATGGATATAACTCTTACTTTTATCGAAGTTTCGAAGTTTATTTAATTATTTTTCTTTGGCCCACGAATTGATTCAAACAACTGTCTAAACGAAAAAAAAAAGAGTAGTTTGCTCGGTAATTTGACAATTTTTGAATTTGGGCAAATTAAAACTGAATCCTTGTTGGCGACAGAGTAATTTAGTACTTTGAAACGAGTTTTGCCTCATGACAAAAGCTATTCTGCACTTAATTTCAGGTATGGCCACTACAAGGATCCATAATGGGGCTGCTATTATTCATCCAGTAGACAAAAGCCCCAAAGACTGTAACGTTTAAATAAATTTCCATCGATTCCTCAATTAAATTATTCAATCTATTGGTTACAATAAGTATACAAAGAAGGTTGTTTACGTTGGGAAATTGACTTTTGGGGTTTAGGCAAATGCTAATTAGTTTCTTTTTTTTATTTTGAGTAATGCAAAGGTTTATAACGTAACGTAGACGAGTAGATGGGCAACGTAGTAATAGTGAGGAACTCAAACTCAACTCGCGTCCTCGTGCGCTGGATATTGATTTACCTCAAACTGAGTACAGCCTTCTGCAAAGCGTCCTACATATATATCCGCTTTTTGCTACTTTTGAACCTGCTGTTACTTTGTAACAGTTTTAGGTTATAATGTTAAAAGTTACAAGAGTTTCGTAAATTTTTCGAAGCTTTGGCAATTTTCAGTTCGACCATTTAATCAATTTTCTTGGTTTATTTTTGAAATAATTTATCTCGCATCCAACTTGTTGATGGAAGGAAACGGTTGGTTATTAACCCAATTAAACAATTACTTTATCGAAAAAGACAAGCAATCAAATTCAATTTCGGTCTGTCAATACACCTCCGGACATGTTTTATGGATTCCTATTGGACCGACATGCCTCAAACCGTACCCTTTAATTAACTGTTTGCATAACAATCCGAAGAAAAATCGGGAATACGGACGTGTTAATTGCCCAAATCTGCTCGATGTCAGCCGTTTATCCCCCCCGAGTGATTTTTTCGGCCTCGGGAGTAATTTATAAACGTTTTACGTCAATTCTACATTATGTACAGCTATGTACAAAGTACTTGACTCGACTTTTCCGATAAAATTGGATTATTGCAATGAAATGTTGAGACTCGGGGACATAAATAAACCGCTTTTTTCAACGAGTTACGACCAAATTATGACCAAATGGAAAAGTCGCTGGGAGCCGCTTTCCACATTAATCACCCCTTGCCCACTTTAATTAAACCCATTCAATATTTATACATAAATTAACTATAATAGTTTACGCTTAATTACGAAATCTCGCCGATAAACCCCCAATAAATCAAGCGCCCGGAAAAACACGATTTCCCAGAAAACTACACTTATTACAAACATACGCGCCCTCAAAGGACCCAAAACCGAAACTGACCACATTCTATTAATAACCGTAAACATAAATTTTAATTCAGACTTAATAAACGCAAGAACTAAATCAATAAAAACCGAATATTTTTATTTAGACCTTGCTTCAAGTTCACAGAAAAAAAATATTTTGCTACTAATTAGCTGTGATTAAAAAGTTGGTCTAAATTTTCGTCAACTAATGGGAGAAAAGACACGCAATGCTGAAACTTTGATGCATGTTAAAATAAAAATTTATATCGGTGTAATATATAAAATGTATCGCTAACTAAATTATAATATGGCGTGCTATTAATTTGGAGTAGTAATGAATTGTATTTCTATTTGTCTTGTCCTTTAGCGTGCTATATAGGCTGTCCCAAAATTCACGTATTTTTCACTCACTTTTCCAGTGTGCTATCTAATTTCGTCGCAGGTGGAAACGCCGACATCCTGCAGGACTCATTATAATATCAGGATGTGTTCCAGGTTCCAGGGGTGCGAAGTGTGAATCCGGATGATCGA